TGATGGGCGGGTTAGGGTCTGTCTTGATTGACCCATGACCCGTTTTAACCCAACATGTTTTGACCCGTTACCCATTCTGACCCGACCCTAACCCGACCCAACCCTCCCGTTTGCCAAGTCATTTTTGCAGTTATGTATGTTTCTCATAGTGTAAGTGACCACTTTATGCCAAAGCAAAAATGGTAAACGTTAGGAGCAAGAATTTAATTGTAAAGGTTAAAACCCGATTTTGATCCCTCTACTTTAACAAAAAGCCCCTTTTTAGTCCCTTTACTTAAGAAAGCTCTTTTTTAGTCCCTAAAGTTTATTATTTGGCTCCTTTTTAGCTCCTCTGTTATCTTTTTGCACACATGGCATGTTAAATAACAGAAATTTCAAAGTATAGGGACTAAAAAGGGGCTTTTTTGTTAAAGTAAAGGGATCCAAATGGGTTTGAACCAATTGTAAAGGCACATGATTTTAGTATTCTATCTAACAAAAACGAGTTGAACTGCACCCAAAATCAGAATCTCATTAACTTGGATTGAACTTGTGCTGAACTTGGTCAAAATTGGATTGACTTACGGATTCACAAAATTTTGAAAATTGGACAACTTTGAACCATCTTTGGGCATTTGGCATTGGGAAAACAAACAAGATCAACACTCCTCCAGCTCTTCTTTTTCCTTCATTTTCTTGGCAAACAAACAGTTCGACAAAAGAAAATTGAAACAAAGACTTATGCATGGTCAACAACAGTAGTTCTGAGAGAGAAATCACTAATGGAGAAAGTGAGGAAGGTCACATTGCTGATGCTGCTGTGGCCTGTGGGACTATTCCAGGATCCAGCACAATTGTAGATGGTTGCTGAACCATGGAAGAGAATTAGGCAGAATGGGAAAGTTGGGGATAAATATAGAGAAACGAAAATGAAGAGTGAGTGATTCTACTGGAGTTAGATTTTTTAACTATATGGATTAGGTTGTTTTAAACTTTTCTTTTATTTTCTATCTTTGTCAATTCACTTGAATACCTCTGCTTGCGAGGTTCTTCAAAGAATCAAAATATTTTTATGGCAGTTTTTACTTTTAAAAAATTCTTTGTTTGGAAGGGACAAAAGGGCAATATTGTCAAACTTGCATTTAATGATTTTATTTTAATTTTTTTTTTAAAACAATATCTACTTCTATGTTATTTGGTCTTAATTGTCACTAGTTTTAGATATTTCATGACTTGTGACTATTTATTATTGATTTTTAGTTATATAATATTTTATTAATTATATACAAAATTTGATAAACTCTCAATATTACCTGTTTGATTTTAGGATTCTGATTTTACCTAGCCAAAACTAGTATGACAACCTTGGTTAGGAGAATATCCCCTTCATGAATGTTAAGAGCTCATTTTGGGTAAATTATAATGAGTATAATCACATAAATTTAGAAAAGTTCTTTATGTTGAAGAGATCTCTTTGGTAGACTGGATATGTCAGGGATTCCTTAATACTTCTGGGATAGTCATAAAGAGCAGTATCTATGTTTACTTATTTCATTTATTCTTAGGAAGGAGCAGTATCTGTGATTAGTGGAAAAGCTTGCCTGAATGCCTATAGTGGAGTTTATATGGCAAAGTAGATGTTAATTTGGAAATTTGCCTAGGTTGTGTTTAGAGGAGACATTTGTATAAAGGATTGCACTTTAAGGATGGATTTTAAATTGCCTTATGCTAATGGCTTTGTTTGGGTATGGGTAAGAAAATAATTTTAAATGCTCCAATAATGTTAATAAAGAATTTTTTTTGGTGAAAATCTGCAAGTTGTGCTCACTTTAGGATTCCAAAAGATTAAAAATTTAGGTTGATCTTGGTTGAGTGCAGGTTCCACTACCATGCTTTCCTATTACATGAAGATAGAATCTTGGTTCTTTCTTTGTTTGGTTGGCTTGGCTGACCCTTGTGTAGTTGTGTGGCGGTTAAGGTTATTCACTGCTTACTGTGGTCTGGTTGTTTATTCTTTTGGAATTTGGCTTTTTAACAGAATTTAAGACCTACTAATCCAATGCTTAATGTTTTGTAGTCTAATGCAATTTAAACCGCAAAACACCTTTTTTCTAGTTCTTGATATTTATCTGTCAATTGTCAATAATGCCTCAACTATTTGAGTTTATGACCATAATCATTAAAAGCATATGTAATTGAACTTATAAATTTCGTCATTCTACTAGTTGTAATGATTTTAGTTACTTTATTTTCCTTTTGCTAGGTGGAGGTAAAGCGCAGGAAGAGATGACAGAATGATCAAGGTGCGTAAGATAAGAAGGTTCCCGTCTTCTTGAGCATTTTCTGCCCAGTTGTTGTGGTTTTGTGGAATTTGTACAGTGAGAGAACTGTACTCGCACAAACAAGACATGTTCGCATGTTGTATTCTGAACGACAGAACGACTTTGATCTTTGATGTTTCTGTGAGTGCTAATCTCTGCAAAACACGAAAGTCATTTTATTTAACCTTTTGAGCTATTACAATAGATCAAACGTAAAATGTTGCGGGAAACCTTCAGTTCGGTGTTGGAATGCTAGTTGCTTGCATAGATTTTACGGTCTTTAAAACTGCTCCCCATTTTTCATGTTAACTAGCATTTCTCAG